TTCATTTTTCTACAATAAGCGTTATCTTGAATGTTTCGGAAGGATAGTTCTTTCAATTCAAACCATCGTGCCTTGTTTCAATCTTAGGTTTAGATAAGCAATGGCCGATCTAGATTCTGACTATCACTCATCGGATGACGAAGATTACGTGCCAGAGGAAGGTGTCGAGGATGTCGACTATCCATCTGGTGAAGAGGTACTGACTTTGATGTTTTATGTACTTTCCCGTTGAAAACTGATAATCAATCCGGTTAAAAATTGTTGTTCGTTTGTTGTCAGTTGACACTGTGACCGTTGACGTCTGAGCATTGTCCTAAATTCAAACTTTATGCACATGACCTCACATCTCATACTTATCCCGCGTCTGTGTACATTTTATTGAAGTGTGCTTGAGAAATCGAGGGAAACGGCTTTGTTTTTGCAAGCTAAATTGCGAAATGCACAGTTTGCTTTCTTTGAGCAGTAGATAACTCATCAGTCAGCATCTTGACTGATATGATGTCATTTATCTTGCTGGGGTGACGTGGAAGCTAGTGGATGAGTCACATATTTGTGGCACGAAAAATGAAAAGAAAATATCCATGGTTTTGAAATCTTAGTAGCTTTGACACGGGTTTGCTTTCATCTGCGTGAGAATATTCGATGGTGATTCAAAGTAACCATTTTCTCCTAGGAAGATGAAGTAAATGAAGATAGTGGGAAATCTTCCACAAAGAGAAAACGTGCTGGTAAAGACAAGCCGCCGGAATCGACTGAAGAACCATCGTAAGTTGCTAATCTATGCAGAAGTTTACCGTTTTCCACTCGCTCAGCTTCACCTTATATTGGGTTGTCCCGAAAGCTCTACTGTTTTTGAGAATTAATAAATTTTCTTGAACAGAAAACGCTGAGGTTGATATTTGTCTCTTTCCTCAATAATTTTCTAATTTTTGAGCGATTTCGGATTTTTTTCTTTTCCAGAGTTCTTTCTCAGTTTTCCAGGTTTTTGGCCACCTAACTTAAATGATCAAAGCCTGAATGATCTTCTTTCTCCATTTTCATCTCTGCACCGAGTATATAGTAGAAGCTCATTAACATAGATCCGCAAAGAGGAAAACTTTTC